CCACTACTTGAATATTGTCCATTTATTCTCAGCAGCACTCGCGTAAGTGACAAACTTAAAATAGAAAGTGTCCAACGATACTTCACATCTAAACTACTAGGATTTGACTGAGAAAAGGACTACACATCAATGTGTATAACTCTAGGTATCGACCCACTCTGGATGAGACGACTCAGCATTAACCTAACACTCCGTGCAAACTTCTTCATAGTCATGTACTCTAAGATCTGGAACAGTTTACCCCTAGAAATAAGGACCTGTCACTCTATTGTAACCTTCAAACGCTTGCTATATAAACTGTTTCATCCCAATGACTATGCCAATCACACCGCACCACTTACTTCTAAAACGCATGAGCTATTAGGACACTATAACGCCTAGACCCATTACCAAATATTATGACACTAAATGAACTCTAAGACTTCGCAATAACACATGAAAAAACAACTAGATTGTAGGTAATTTTTACATACAATGATATACATTTATATATACATAAAATATTAATGTTCTTTTCATGTTCACATACTTTCTCTTTCTGGCATTTCACTACTGAGCCTGCACTCCTATATACCTCCTGGTCGAGGTCGAACAATCCAACATCTAAACTGAAATGACCATTTAAGTAAATTCAAACTCAAATTCCATGAACGATCCGATGCTACCATTTGAAAACGCTGTCCTACATTCTGTACAAGGAGTATTCTTGATCTGAAATAAAGAAGCAGCTGGTTTTCAAACAGTTTTCAATGTATTACTCAATTTACATGTACAGTCTGCCATGCTGACACAAATGGCGCCAATGGATAGTTCTAGAATCGACCTCGGCCCCACTACATGCAGTAAAACAATCTGACATGACATTATCTTGTTTTCGTATCAACGATCAAATTCCTTTCCTATTATAAAACTACGATTAGATTGCTGAAAAATGGAATAAATACATCACTGACTCAAAATAATACATCAATTAACTTTAACTCAAGGATGCCGTTCACAACAAAGTTATATGGGAGAATTGACTTCACGCTTTAGTTTTCCCAGATATTTTTATTACATTCATCTGATGTCTGGGTTTTTTGTTAATGCAAAGACAATATTTCTATATCTTTTTATGTGTTACACAGACAGACTATTTTGCAGACTGTTCCGACTCACCCTAATGTCAGAAAGAACAAACAAACTGTAAATTCAACACACATCGAAACATGTGTAATTTATATAATAACTTATCCATGCCTGTACAATTGGTATGTTCCTGCATAAACAGGAATAAATATATATACATATAATGGGCATTCGGTACAGTTTACAACATTATTTCTCGACGTTAGAAAGGCCCTCGGTAAAGTCCCACATATCAGACTCATAACAAAACTCCAATCCTACGGAATAACCGGGAAACTTCTCAAATGGATAAATTCTTTTCTCACAGAAAGAGAGCAGTTAGTCAAAATCAACCACCAGCTGTCTTCATCAAAGCCGATAACTAGTGGTGTAATTCAGAGTAGCGTTCTTGGCCCTATTCTACTCCTCTTACTTATAAATGACATAGTCTCTGTGATCAAGTATGGCAAGCCATACCTCTTTGCAGATGATCTCAAGATAGTGTATGATTACGGGTACGACGATATGAGCGTCGAAAGCAAAATCCAACATGAATTAAACAATCTAGGCGATTGGAGCGAAAAGTGGCAACTGACTTTCAACCCAGACAAGTGCGGTATAGCCCACCTTGGACGCTGGAAACCGAGAATGTGCCTATGTATGTACGGTAAGCTCCTCTCGAAACTGAACACTGCAAATAAGGCTGTATCTGACTGTAAACGACTTATTGGCTTTGTGCTGCGTAACTTCTACACCCAAGAAGCTAGATTAGCTATATATAGAACATGTATCCGCCCCAAACTTGAATATTGTGCTCTCCTGTATAGTAACCTAAGGTCTGCAGACCGAAAAAGTCGAAAGTGTTCAGAGATTCCTAACGAAACGCATAATAGTGTTTGACCAACCAGTGGAATATGTTGTAGTGACCCATGTTATTACTCATCATCGTACTATACTTTCATTGTGTAATTGTACTTTGATTTGTTTATTACTCTAAATCTTGCATGTTAACAATTGATACTTTTTGTACTCGCTCGATTTTTGAATTGTTGATTGCTGCAATAATACACTATCGTATTCCTTCGCAAGTACCTTTTGAATTACGTTGCGGATGTCGAGTAATCGCACTGTTAGGTCACAAATATAAACGCGAAGAAATACTAGAAGATACGTGTACTCTAGTTCAGTCAAAATATCAGCAGCACAACAATGTTGACAGGTGTATGCGTTTGAATTTAGAACCTCTGTGGTTAAGGAGAGTGAAGTGCAACTTATTTCTACTATTCAGAGTCATTAGGAAACATTGTTATAGTAACTCGTCCATAATGCTGGGAAATATTAAATCATAACAGCTGCGAAACCACGACTACCTTGTCAAGGCGGCTACCCACAGAAAATCCATTAGGGCAAACTTTTTCACCATTAAATATTGCACTCTTTGGAACCAACTACTATCTGAAATTAGATGTTGTGAAAACCCCAATGGGTTCAAACGGAGGCTAGAAAGACATATTAACATGTCCAACCTAGCTTGTCTAAAAGAACACGACTGTTGGTAGAATGGTATATGAAAGCCGGTCCAGTCATCAGCTTAGTCAGTTACATATCACCGTCCTGAACCAGTGCTGAGAAAGTCTCTGCCAAACCCTAAGTGATCTGTTTCAACACTCCTTTGATGTAGGGAAACTTCCATGCGAATGGAAACGAGCCATCCTATCCCATATCTTCAAGGGTGGTGACCGGCGGAATGCGACCAGTTACAGACCAGTTGCGCTACTTCCAGTGATATCGAAGATATTTTGGAAAGTCTCACTGACGACCACATGAGAAAATGCTTCGACGGGACTAACCAACTCCATGAAGCGCAGCACGGTTTTTGGAGGGTGACGAATCTTCTACTAGCTTGGAACAATTGGGCACTATCCTGGGACGCAAAGGTACCAGTCCATATGATCTTTCTCGACTTTGCGAAAGCATTCGACACAGTTCACCATGATCTGCTCCTTCTCAAAATAAGCAAGGAGGGTGTTTCTGCAGCACTTCTCGCATGGCTGAAAGATTACTTAGGCGAGAGAGAATTCTGCACCAAAGCCAACCGCATCCGATCATTCTGGCACACCTCGGCATAAGGGGTTCCTCAGGGTTCTATCTTAGGGCCGTTGATGTTTTTGATTTATATCAACGACCTGTCCTTTCAACTGAACTGCTCTGCGCTTCTTTACGCTGACAACGTAAAGATTTGGAGAGCAAGAAACTCATCGGAAGACTCAGACAGATTGCAGGCTGACCTGCAAACTCTGGGAGACTGGGCTCTGGCTAACGGAATGCCTTTCAACCTAAAGAAGTGCAAAGTAGTGCAACTTCATTCCGGAAGGTCACAGAGTGTAAATTACACCCTTGGTGGCCAGAACTTGAGTTGTGTGCCATCAGAACGCTACCCAAGGTCTTATTTTAACAGAAAAGCTAGACACCAGTGGAAATTACACGAGGGACGTCGCCAAAGCCCACGCAACTTTACACTTTATGCATACCCAGCTGGGAGCTCTTACTCCCGAACTATTCTTAAGGTTGTATAAGACATACGTGAGGCCACACCTTGTGGTACATAATATCATTGCTCCTCCGCTACTCAAAAGGGATGCTAACATTCTAGAAGCGTCCAGAGACGAGCGACAAAATAGGTGATCAGCCTCCGCAACAAACCATACGAGGAAAGGCTGAAGCAATTAAGTCTTTTCACACTTAGTTACCGTAGTCACAGGGGAGACCTCATCACTGTCTACAAGATCTTAAATGACCAGGTCCACCCAAATAAAAGCATCCTGCCATTAACTGATTATAGGCTTCCACGAGGTAACCCGCTAATGAAAGCACACTAGAGACCAAAGACTCGAGTGCGTTCACATTTCTTTTCGCTTCGGGATTGCGGTTTCTGGAACACTTTACCGGCGGCCGTGACTACAACGCCATCTGTGGAGACTTCTAAGCGGAAGCTGGACAATCATGCAGAAATGCAAGGTTGTGTCTCAATGGCTTATCCTCTTAAAATTTAAAACCACACTGTCAATGGATAAGCATACAAACTAAATCCCCACGACCCGTTCTGTCTTCTCTCACTGTACCGACTACTGTATCTTTTCCTTAGGTCACCTTTATTATTTCACTTATCTCAACCTATATTATCTACACTGCAACCTATTGTTATTATTACTATTCTGCTTTTATGACTACACGGAGTGACTAAGGGGAGTTAAGCCAAACTCCATTCACGACAGCAACACAGTCCTAACATACTGCATACTACAAACCACATTTTGACCAATCCCCGCACCACTCCTCTTGCAGTCTACCAGAGCTAAAGCAGTCGAGTAGCGGGACTTACTATGCAGAAGTTCACCAAAGATCTGGAACCTCTACCTTACAATCAAGAGGCGAGCTCAAAGAAATCACTTGTTTATACTAGCTCGTAATCAGGATATTGGATATTGGACATTAGAGAGCGTGTATTGAATTTTGAGTCACTATGAGTAGCTTGGATTTGAAACCAAAATATGAAATAGGTAAGATGCTTACTGTTTTCTTATATAGAATCACGTGCATTAAGGTGAAAAATTACTTTGTTTCCATGGGCCTCTTATGTATGAGGCGAAATGTCTAGACGTCAAAGTGAAAGAAGATGGTGTAATGTATTTTGTGCATTACCAAGGTTGGAATAAAAAGTAATAATATTTCAGTATTAATTTACATTTTGATATAGCTGGGATGAATGGGTGACAGAGAAACGTATGTTCAAGTATAATGAAGAGGGTTTGAGAAAACAAAAAGAATTAGAGCGACAAATGTAACTTGTGTAAAGCAATGTTTCTGATCATGATGCTTCTTATAATTTTCAGAAAATCGGGCAAGGTTAAAGTTTTGAGGAAGTCCGACTTAAAGTCACAGTCATTGCCACCTCCAGAAGTCCTGGAGGACGTGGAACGGACATTGAAGCCTAGTCAAGTGAAACAAGGTGAGATATTACCCGGTTATATACTAAGTGCCGCTATAGAGGAAGATGCTCCTAAGGCCAAGAGCATAAAGACCAACAAAGAAACCAACAGGAAAACTGATACTCGTGTACCTACTGATTTGAAAGAGACTGAAGATATTAAACCAGCCATTAAGTGTTGTGAAGATTCATACACACCGTCTACTCAACCTGTCACAGTATCAAGTAGAAGGAAAGGCCGAGTGTCATCAGTGCTGAAGTCTCTTGAAAATGCAAGTATTTCGTGTTTATTGTGACACAATTTTTCATTCTATGCGATTTAAATTTGTTTTTCCGAGATAGTTTGTACTTTGGTATTGTGATTCATTTTGTGAGATAAAAATTTCCTCTTTGGAGGAGATAATAAAGTAGCAGCGTTGTGTCAAATGACAATTTTAAGTTGATATTTGTGTTATCTAGCTCATTCGAAACGTATTTAAACACTGTGACCACTAGTCCTCATGAGATTGTCCTCATTAATTTAATTTTCTGTATGTTCACTCCTGCGAACAAATTCCCTTTTTTTAACTGTCCTCTGGTTTTCAAGTCCTCTTAGAAAGTTGTTCATGAAACTAAATATTTCTTTGAGCTAAAGCTGTGTTTCAAATCAAGATAATAAAGATAGAAAGCTCTTGTAGTCTGCGTTATTCCTTGAAATATACATCTCTGCAGAAATCTAATTTCTCTCTTTGAAAGCGTTCACCGATGGAGCTGTTACTACTGAATCAGGTAAGGAGTTGCGATTGTTGACCATTCTGTGAATCTGAATTAAATTGTGGATGTATTTTTATTCGACCTAGGTCTGAGCACCTTTTTGCGGTGAAGACTATGAATTCCTAAATCATCCTTTACTGCACGGTATGCCAAAATTAAGTCACCTCTCCTCCTCCTTCGGTATGATAATGGAAAGAGATTTAAATGCTCCATCCTCTTGTCATAGGAAGGTTTGGGTTACCACTAATTAATTTCGTTCCTACCCTCTGTACTCTTCCTAGGATTTGTGCCCGCTTTTTGAAGCATGGACTCACCACTTGTATGCAGTACTCTAGATGAGGCCTGCTGACATACGTTGCATAGAGTACTTAGAACAAAGACTCGTCTAGTCGTTCGTTTGAAAGCCCTTCAAAGTACTCATAGCATTCTAGTATTAGCTGCAGCTCGATTACATTTTTCGGTTGTTTTTGCGTCATGGTTTACAATAATTCCTAAGTCGTTTTGTCCCTCAACATCTGGCAGTTCTTTGTTCCCCAGGGGGTACGATGTGTGGCCAAGTTAAACTTTAAGCACCACTAATTAGATAGAAGGAGTAGCATGTTGACAAGAAACTGAGCGGGCTTGTAGGTGTTGGGAGCAAAAGCATTATTTTTTTTATATGTATGTATTCATACTCTCAACTTTACCGTTATATTCTTCACTGTTTTTCATATCTCAGGAAGATGGCCTTCTCTCTCAGCCTCGTTTATCGATGTCACTGCCTCCATCTTTGAAATCTTGGCTTATCGATGACTGGGATTTGATTACTCGTCAAGCTCGGGTAAGTAATCTTCAGTTGCGTTATATCATCCAGTCAGCAAAGCAATTTCCAATTTTTTAGCGTTGGTCGAAATTTGTTAATTTAGTGATCAATTTGGTCACTTAGATGTTACACAGTATGTACCTTGGCTCACCTTGGTTCCGGGTGATCAGGAATGTTCTCATCTTGAGTGTTGGTTGGCTCGCCACCGTTGCATCTCGATGGGTTGAAAATCGCAGTGAACCCTAGTCGAGAGTGCATTCAGATGTGTAGTAGTTTATGTTACAGGGAGAAACCTTGCGACCCTTCCTTTCATCCATCGTTCAGAGAATTCAACGATGTATTAAAATTCCATTATTATTATTGTTATTATTTGAACAAAGCAAGAACAACAGTGGTTATTGCAGAATAAAGTGACTGGTACCATCTCCTATTTCGTTGCCTTCTCGTCAACTGCTTACACGCCAAAGACATTAAGTAGTATATCTACAAAAACAATTTTAACATACTTGCGTAGAGGTCATCTGTTTTATCTCATCATTTAGGTCTTTTCTTGTTCCGTTTGTAAGACACTTAACTTAGCTAAGCCTGACTTAACAGACAGATAACGGATGAGACGAATTAAAGTCTAAACATCTATGAGGAGAATGCGTTGGTCTTTTATAAACGTCGCTAGTGTGAAGTTTACCGTCTTCTGTTCGTTTTATTTTACAATCTAACATCATAAAAGCTAATTCTGCTTGTTTATTTACCGATTCAAATGTGAATTTTATTCCCTCTACTAGTGAGTTTATGTGTGTGTGTCAAGAAGCTAGAGGTTTTTCCTTTCTAAAAATTATTTTTTCTTCGGTTAAATTTTCACAGCTTTATGAACTGCCTGCCTCTCAGCCAATATGTAATGTTTTATCAGACTTCTTAGAAGCTTCTGAGGTTGAAATGAGTCAGAAGTCAGAATCAACTGGTGAAACAAAAGAAGAGTGTACTTCTTCTGAATCGCAGAACTCTCAGCTAACTACTACTACTACTAATAAGTTGCGAATAAATCCGCGTGTACGGCGTGAATTTGTTGCGGGAATTCAGCATTTTTTCAATCTTACTATTGGTTCTCATCTTTTATACAAATTTGAACGATTACAATATGCTGAGCTATTGAAACATCACACAGATAAGAGAATGTCAGATATTTATGGTTCAATTCATTTGTTGAGGTTGTTTGGTAAGTCTTAATGTGTAAAACTTGGGCACTGTGGTGGTGGCAGTAAGTGATTCCATATTAGTTTGTTTATTAGATGGATGTATCACACAGTCAGTCAGTGAGTGAAACAGTATTAGTATTTACTGGATGACAAAGTTGTTTCGAACACAATTCATTATTGCTGTTCATAATCATACACGTCAATCATAATCACACGACTTCGAAACTTGAGGAGTCTGATAGTTTTCTTTGTTCTCTCCTATTTGTCATCGTCGTTGTTGGGGTAGTAGAATTTTCCAGATATCTGGGTGGACAGGTGTTGAATCATTCCTATTACATGTATTTGCCACCCCAAATGTGTGGTGGAGGTGTATGTAGATGACACATTCATTCATTGTACTTAGAACACAGGATATAGATAGATTTTTCGAACACATTAACTAACTCAAAGGTGGAGGTAATTCAATTCACTTATGTGGAATCGGAAAGTCAGGAACTCAGGGAGCTTCCAATGCTAGATCTGTTTTCTCTATGTTCACCTGAAGTCCCTCCTATCTTTGATGCTTCTTCAGCCACATTTTGTCATCTACAGAGCATAATTTTCAAGTATTGCAAAAAGTATTTTAAAGTATTGGTTTTTGTAGGGATTTCTTTTTTATTGGGTGCAGGATTTCATCATGACCGCTGACATCGGTTAGAGAACCCCATTGGATAAGCACCACTGGAGAGTACTGGACAGTTAGTTGTTTCCCCCGTCCTAGTTTGTGGCTCTTCAACAGCATGCACCCACCGACAAGGTTTGAACCCAGGACCTCTTCTGGTTACAAGGCGGCCAGCGAGGTAGCTCGTAGAGCATTCAGCAGCCACTGAGGTCCGAACCAATGGCCAGCCAGCCAGTCCATGAATTCTAACTTCTGCCAATTCACGCACGACATATAGCGCGACCACTTATCACAATGTCTTCGATGAGTAGTAACTGCCTTCACTTTCGACTTGCTGTGTACCCTACTGGTCACGTCTTCCCACTGGAACCCCAGGTTAACTGCCTGAATAGAGAGAGCCAACCATTCGGTAGTGAGTGAGCATCAGATCAGTTTATTAAGTATATTGGTCTACTAGCTAGCTCGCTCTTCTTGTAACCAGGTCCCGGGTTCGAACCCTGTCAGTGGGGTGGGTGCGTACTGCTGAATAGCCAATCCAAAACTAGGAGGGGGAAACAGCTGTCCAGTACTCCCAGGTGGGTTTTCCAGTGGTTCTCACTAACTGATGTCAGCTCATGATAAATGAAATCCTCCATGCAAATAACAGTTATGTAGACGATTTTCAAGCTCATACAACATACATACAACAATTTATGTGAATTGTTGAACCTAAACAATGTCTGTCTTTTGAAACTATTTTTTACTGTTTATAGTTAAACTCCGAGATACGGTTTCATGCGTCCGAGTCGATGAGCATAGTCTCCCTATGCTAGAAGCTTTAGTTGCTGAGTTTTTGCAGTGAGTGTTTTTTTTATATATTTTTTATTGCATTGTAAATTAACGAAGAGTGAGACGCGTATAAATTTTTTCACATTTATACATTCACGATCTTGCACAATGCATTAGTTGTATATTTTGATTTGACACTAGTCAGCAACTAGTGTGTGACGTGTCTGGCTGGTCCTTTTTTTGATTGTTGCAGACTGAATTCTATCTGTCTGTCAGTCAGTCAGGTTTGCAATGTAGCCACCATGCCACCAGATAGCTCGCCATCACGGTGCACACATTGATTTCATGGTATTAGATAGTTGGAGGCAATCGGCCAGAGGAAGACTTGCCCGGACCTAGGTTTCGTGCTAGTTGGCACTCACCGGTCAGTCAGTCAGCAAGGCGTATCTGCAACCACCTTGAAGGAACAGCTCATGTCCCCTCTTCTGAGATTCGAACTTGCGTCCTACAGGAGGTCAATCGCGAGCCACAATAGCTCAGTGGTCACGTCTCTGACTGCAGTACTCACTGGGTGATGTGGGTTCGAATCTCAGATGGGTGGGACATGAGCTGTTCCTTCAAGGTGGTTGCAGATACGCCTTGCTGACTGACTGACCGGTGAGTGCCAACAACTAGCACGAAACCTAGGTCCGGGCAAGGCTTTCTCTGGCCGATTGCTTCCAACTATCTAATAGCATTAATTGTATGAACGGACTGTCAACAATCGCCACTTTTTTGTGCCGACTAAAAAGCTTGGTTTTAGGTTGTTGATCTTAGAATCATCGAATATATATATCATGTTAGTAAATAAAAATATTCATTGTAGCACTAACAGTGCAGTCTTTTCTCCACCTCAAAGTTCAAAGGTAATAAGTAGTATTGCATTAACTATGACTGACTGCTGAAATTTTTTTAAAACAGATAAATAGGTGATTGTTTACTTTTTGATTTGTCTTCTATAGACCTCGGTGGGATAAAGTTTTGTTTTTCATCACTTTTCAGTAATATATCTTAACCACACAAGAAAATTACTTTGGCTCATTCTGTTATTATTATTATTTTCTTTAATTCCAAGAGGAACATAGGGCTTCAGCCGCTCATGTCTCCATTGTGTTCAGTTCTCTGCTAAAGTTTTCACCTGGCTCCACTCGTCTGCCCACATGCTTTCATCATCTCCTCTTCACATGACCTTCTCACCCAAGTCACCCTAGCATTGACGACCAACTCGCCGCTTCCAATTCGGTCGGGTTCCACTCGAGCAATGGCTTGTCTAGTGATGTCACTTGGTGGTTTGTTTCCTCAGAGTATGGCCAGCCAATCCACCTCCATTTCTTCCTGCTTATTTGTTGCACAATCGGTTCCTGGCTGGGTTGGTTCGCTCACTGCCAGAGATCCCTGTTGCTGATCTTTTCTGGCCGGCTGGCCGTCTGTTCTTGAGTTTTATTGAGCGAAGACAACTAGCTGTTGATGAAAGTCTGAAGTTTGTTTGAGGTGCTCTTCATGACACGCTGGCCAAGTCTCTGATCCATCCGTATAGTGAGTAGCACTGACTGACTTCACATTGGAGTTGAAAATCCGGATCTTATTTTCATTTTCATGCTGAGTAGTTCTGTTGACCTCCACACAGACTTGAGAGTAATGAAAGCTTGTCTTGCTTTCCCGATCCTCGCTGCTTCGATATCCTCGTCAGTTCCGTTGGCCTGTAGTTGAAACGATGCTTCCCAGGTAGGTAGGTGGGTAGGTGAAGGAGGTTGTTTCTTTCAGGTTCCTCCCATTTATGCTGGCTAACTGTTGTCTGTTGTTGTTGTATCCCAGAAATCTTCATCACCTCTGTTTTCTCTATGTTTAATTGGAGTCCTATCTTTGATGCTTCTTCTGCCAACTTGTTGCTTTTCACTTGCATATATCTTCCAGCACTTTGTGGGAAACCAGACATATATCATCGGCGAAGTCCAGATCCTCCAAGTCGTTTTTGTGTGGGTCCATTTTATGCCTGCTTTTTCGCTGCCCGCCGTCTGTCGCATTATCCAATCTACTGCAGTCAGGAAAATCATTGGCGATAGTAGGCAGCGTTGTCTTACTTCCGTCTTTACTTCGAAAGATTCCGTATGTTTCCCGTTGTGGATTACTTGGTAAGCAGCGTTGTCGTACAACTGTTGGATGAGATGCATAGTTGTCGGTGACACCCCGTAGTAGTAGTAGCGAAGTATTTGCCAAATCACCTGTCGGTCGACGCTGGGCTATCGAAGGCCTTTTCAAAGTTGATGAAGTTGAGTGAGATAGAGAGATGACTGCCATTCCAAGCTTTGTTCAATGGTGATCCGTAGTGTGTCGATTTGATCAATACATGACTTGTTTCTCCTGAATCCAGTCTGTTCCAGTCGAAGTTTTTCATCCAGGTTGGCGTGTTTGATTCTCTCCAGGATGATGCGGCTTAGTCTTTTGCTTGGGATGGATAGGAGCATAATTCCGTACCAGTTCCTGCATTGACTTAAGTCTCCTTTCTTTGGTAGTTTGAATAAGCATCCTTTCTTCCAATCCGCAGGTACCTTGTCCTCTTTCCACACTTCTCCAGTAGTAGTGGTGTCATCAAATCCGTTGTTGTCTCTGGGTTCATTTTCGATATTTCTGCTGGGATTGCGTCTGGTCGTGCTGCTTTTCCAGCTCCAGCTCTTAGCATCTCTATTGCCTTCAGGACTTGTGTTCTCATCTGGGTTGGGGAGGGGTTGATGATCATTGATAGGGTAGTTCTGCTTCCGTTGTTGGTATTATTGGGCACGTTGTAGGTGGCCGTTGAATAATTTTGCAGCGTTAGCTTACTTCTAAAAGATGGGAATCACTTACCTTCTTATTTATATTTCTGTCATTTGATACCGTAGAATTTACTGGTAAATAATCATATTCTAGTTGACAGACTCAATAAAGGATAGAATATGTATATATCTCGGATCCTAATGCAGGCCACAACCAAAAAGAACCCAATGTTGAGTACTTGTTTTTCTTAAAATTACTCCTCAGCAGTCCGCTCCGTCCTCCTTTATGGCTGGCTGTGGTCGAGACCTGGCCATTGAGAGTGCAGCATTTCGAGTTGCTACGTTCCAAATAGTTAACAAAGGTAGACAAGAAAATGGATGAGTGAAGAGAATCAATAGAGTTTTGACAAGTATAAGAGTGAAACAGAATGACTAATGGTAGAAAGGAATATGAAAGATTACAGAGACTGAATACATCTGCTCTATTGACAACGATTTTGAGCCATGTCGCCTATTGTCTCCAGCCATTGATTCTTAGAGTCCCGAGGACCCCAACCCGGAAGTCTGCATCTCCCTATCTGACTCAGTTTAACTGTCAGGGATTTCATGGATTGATGCCATGTTTTTGTTTGGCCACCGCTTACTCTTTTCCAGCCTGCACCTATATCAGCTAGTAATGCCCGTTGGGAGGGGGAGGCGATGGTGAGGCATACGCAGCACGTGACCTAGCCATCTCAATCTATGTAACTTTATAGTCTCTTCGATTGATTTTCCCTCTTTGCCCAACACTCTACGCCTAACCTAACGTCAACATTACTTACCTTATTATGCCACCTAACGTGAGAAAGAGATCGTGGACATCTGTGATCAAAAACAGTGAACCTTTCCATGTCTTCAACTCGTATTGGCCATGTTTCAGAGCCATAGAGAAGGACGGAGCGAACTGCTGAGCAGTACACACGTCCCTTGGTTGATAGTCGGATGTCACGCCTACGCCAGACCCAGTCCTGTAGCAGCATCTTACATTTTACAGGGGCGAATCGCATGCCAAACATACGACGATTGCTGCTCAAGGTGTTCAGAAGACTCTGCTGTATTTTGTCAGCATCCTCCCCTAACAGGACAATGTCATCTGCATATACTAAGTCCATAAGACTATTCCCTAGAAACAACTCGATTCCTAAGTCGTTAAGGTCAGAAGGATTCACTTCTAATTATTTCACTGGTTTATATGAAGCTTTATTAGTCGGCTTCTCTCTGTTTTCCTGTTTTTTAGGTTTCTGCAAGAAAATGAAAGCCGTTACTTCCGAATTGAGGATTACAGTGTGGCGACGGCAGAATATCAACGAAGAGCGATGTGTTAAATGTGCATATAACTAACTGTCACCGTTGTAAAAAAAACAAAATTGATACGTATGCTCTGAAATAAATAATGTATAATATAATTCCATATTAGTTTGTTTATAAAGTATATCACACAGTCAGTGAGTGAAACAGTATTAGTATTTACTGGATGACAAAGTTCTTTCGAACACAATTCATTATTGCTGTTCATAATCATTTCATCAATTATAATCACACGACTTCGAAACTTGAGTCTGATAGTTTTCTTTGTTCTCTCCTATTTGTCATCGTCGTTGTTGGGGTAGTAGAATTTTCCAGATATGTGGGTGGACAGGTGTTGAATCATTCCTATTACATGTATTCCCTGCCTCAGTTGATTCGACAAACAAAGCTTCCGTCATTATCAATCTCTCCCTCCACCCTGCTGTTACATTAGGTTCTAAAACTGTCATCTTATGCCATCCAGCCTATTGTAAGGTTGTGTGTATTTGCATGTAGTGCTTGCGATAGCTGCTGAACTATTCTCTAGATTTCTTATCTCATTCGGGTCAACCAATCTAGATTTTGCTTCTAGGTGTTTATGTTCAGCTAGTCTGACTGACTGCACCTGTTCTACTACTTTGACCTATGTATTTGACCTGACAATCATTGCAGCAGGCAGGGTATTAGATAAACTAAATTGTTTTGTTTCAGAGGCTCCACTGGCAGGATTTATCCTTTAACCGACAAAGCTTGTTTGTAATTTTATTTGTGGTTGGTTTGAATTCCAGCCACTTTTATTCCTTCCTGTCAGCCTTGTTAAGAATTCTGGGTAAGGTGGTTTCCGAAGTTCCTTCCTTGTATGGAATTACTACTGATGATTTAGATTCTCTATTGTTGGTGTTGTCTTGCGCATGTTTGACATGCATGTCGTCATTGATATTGTTATTATTATCACTACCACTACTATCATTATTTATTTTATTTTTACATTTTCTTACATATTTCTTGACTAATTTATCCGAGTAATTATTCAATTCATCATAAGTGAATTGAATTGTTCGAAAATCCTGTCTATATCGTGTGTTCTAAGTACAATGAATGAATGTGTCATATGCATACCTCTACCATACTTTTGGGGTGGGGAAGTGAGTGTGAACGTTTCAATCGCTATGTTTTCACACCTATTCATGAATAATATATCTCCTACAACCGGGACAAAGCTTGTTTCTAATTGAGTTTGGGGTTGGTTTGAATACCTGCCAGCTTATTTGACCCAATCTTCAAGCAATAATTTCGTATGGATAGGTAGGTAGGTAGATAGATGTTGGATATGAGTGTAAATATTCGTGTTACCGATGGTGATAGCCCTTTTTGCTGTGTTGACTAAGATGCCATGCTTTTCAAACGATTATACTCTACACACACACACCCTGCTGAAAATCTTTGTGAAATGAAATTTGCTTTCGAGGTTTCCTTTTGCCTATACGCTGATGAATTAATTGCATAAGATACAAATATGCCTCACTATGAAACCTGAATGTTGTGTGAAGAAATATTATATCGAATAGGCTGGTTGGTGATGGTCCTCTTCGTGATCTTTGTGACCATCGATGATGACATGATGGCGCAGTATTTCAAAATAACTTCAGACAGAACTAACTTAATCTGGGCATGAATATCATCAGTGGATACGATAAGTGCCCACTGTTATAGAATCAGGTCAAAAAAGTTTACAAAAAATTAGTAATTAGTAATAATAATAATAATACAGGAAGATTGAACAGCGAAGAAATATTTACTTCTCAATTAGACCCTCACTCTGGCTCTACTCTAATCAATCAATATACACGTATACACGCATTACAGGACCTTTCGGTTACAAAGCAAGTTCTTTATCTTTTAGATCAGTCAGTACAGTTCGAATATATATACATATACATATATATATATATATATATATAGTATCCCCATTACCGAAAGTCTTGATATCATTTTCAGTCTACTAGGATCAGATAAAATGCTATCACAAAGATGTCGACTGGACACCAGTGAAATAATTAAGAGGAGCTTGAAATTATGTCTAGAAAGTAATTATTTTACATTTAAATGTCAGGGGTTTATATGGACAGACAAATGGTGTTGCTTTGCGTTAACCAGTCTCCCCAATAGTCGCTGACCTTTTCATGAATAGCTTCGATGATAACATCTTTTCAAGCATACTCACTCCTAAAATATGGTTAAGATATAAGTGGATGATACATTTGTAGTGCTAAAACGAGATCTACACAGTTCATTCCTGGAGAAAATAAACTAACTGTCTATCTCCCAGAATGTAGTTTGCTTCAGAAGTAGGCAGAATCAGACGTTGGTGAACTACCATTTCTAGACTGCCTGACTAGTTAAGAGAAGGGAAAACGGACATTTTAGTATATCTGTATTCAGGAAGAAAACCCACTCCAACAACAAATATTTAGATTTCGGATCATCACACCCCGACATCAGCGCAAAGGTATCAGTTGTTTCAAGTCTTCTTAGACGAGCACACTCTCTGATGTTAACGGATGAGAAAGAAAAAGTGGAAGAAATATCAAACATTACTGAAACTCTCCTCAAGCAAAACAACTACCCGACGAACTTCATCAACATAATCAACAGTGACACTAAGTATGGTCGGAAACGCACTCCGAAATTATAGACCTCAACAGTTGTCATTTCGTATAGAGCAGAGACGTCAGTCGATATCAGAAAAGTACTCAATCAGCTCGACATCAGAGTTTTCTTCAAAACATCAGACACACTACGAAACAACCTTGTCCACATATAAGACCAAATCGTTAAAGATCCTCTATCTAATTGTGTCTATGAAATAAAATGCTTGGAATGTGATGCGATATACATCGGACAAACATCTCCAGTGAGAAATCAAAATCAGAAGAAATGAACACCGTAGAGTGAGCATCTGTTCGACCACCGAGAAATCCGGTTGAACTATGAAAACTTGAAAAATCATCAGGTATAGATTCAGGCCACAAAATTGATTTTGACAATATTGAAATCGTCATCCAGACAAACTTCACAAATCACAAAGAACGTCTCAAATCATCAGAAGCACTTCATATCAAATGGAATCCAAATTGTCTGAATAGGAATGATGAACTAAAGCAGAATTTTACCTGACTGCAACACCCCCTCCCCCATGAAGTGACAAAATCAACACGAATGTGATAAGCAAGTTCACCATGTAAACACACACTGCTTTTATAATTTTACACACTGATCAAATCCAACAATCTACACTTGGTTTTGCTATCTGTACAAATTAGCCAATTTGACAACGAAAAATGACCCCGGACTGACGAACGATGATCAAGTTAGTAAACTTTGTTTTGATACCAACCAGTGCAGATGTACTATTATTTCTGTTATTTGGTTTAGTCATTCATCTTCATTGTTTTTTTCACCTTCCATATGTCCTCCTTTTAACTTCACCTAAGTAGTCTATTTTCTCACCCCTTTACTCTTTGTTATATATATATGCTGAATGGATTTTGTAAATTCTTCTGGTTTAATAATACTACTTTGATAAAGCTATTATAGCAGCAGCATTAAATAGCGAAACGTCAGTAAGAGCAACGATAATATCGTTTTGTTTTTCATTCATTGGGAAATACAAAAACCTTTATGATAATGAATATCATAAACCACCTAAAGCCCAAATTTTTTCAAACTGTTGAAAGTGAACTTGGTGCGTCGGTGACACAGTGGTTAGGACTCTCGCCGACCATGCACATGGTCCGGGGTTCGATCCCCTGCCGGCGCACACCCGATATCTATGGTCGGCCTGAATTTGGGCTACCGATATCCATGCTGAAAGTTCCATACTTGTACTGAAAATACGGTGTGGAATCAAGCTGTAAATCAAAATAAAAATGTATATATATATATATATATATATATAATATATATTTATATGTATAAAAGGTTTACAAAGTGTAACGCTTGGCTTATTGTTAATACATTCTCTTTTTTGTTGTTGTTGTTTTGTGTTCCTAATTCGTTGTATTCCCATCATTTGTTCCAGTTGCAGGAGTCAGCTGTTGTTGATGATGATTTAAGCTTCGTTTCAGCTCTGCATTTTCACTTTCCAGTAATTCAAGTTTTTGTTTCAATTCTGCAATCTCTAGCTTCATTGCTTCAACATCCGAAGGTTCTGGACCTTCAGCTTGTAAATGTTTCTTCATAAATCTAGACAATAATCAATAATAATAATAATTTAAAAAAATAATAATAACAAATCTTCTTTTAAAAAATCCAATCACACACAGAGAGCATATTCAGCTCAAATAGAAAAACAAAAACATAAATAATCCCTTTATGATAAATTTGAACTGTGCTATATATTTAGAAGACGAAGATTATTTGGAAAAGGATGCAATATTATTATTATTATTGTTTCCTTTAATTCCTAGAGGAACATAGGGCTTCAGCCGCTCACGTCTCCATTACGTTCGGTTCTCTGCTAGAGTCTTCACCTGGCTCCAAGTCTGCCCACATGCTTTCATCCTCTCCTCTTCACATGACCTCCTCACCCAAGTCACCCTCACACTGACGACCAACTCGCCGCTTCCCTTTCGGGTTCCACTCGAGCAATGGCTTGTCTAGTGATGTCACTTGATGGTTTGTTTTCTCAGAGTATGGCCACAATCCAATCCACCTCCATTTCTTCCTGCCTATTTGTTTCACAATCGGTTCCTGATTGGTTCGCTCCCAGAGATTTATGTTACTGATCTTTTCTGGCCATCCGATCTTGAGTGGTATTGAGCGAAGACAACTAGCTGTTGATGAAGGTCTTTAGTTTGTTTGAGGTACACTTTATGACGCGCTGGCCAAGTCTCTGATCCGTATAACAAGTAGCACTGACTGACTTCACATTGGAGTTGAAAATCCGGATCTTATTTTTCATACTGAGGGCTGTTTGTTGACCTCCACACAGACCTGAGAGTAGTGAAAGCTTGTCTTGCTTCCCCGATCCTCACTGCTTTGTTATCCTCGTCAGTTCCATTGGCCTGTAGTTGAAACTATGCTTCCCAGGTAGGTAAAGGAGGTTGTTTCTTTCAGGTTCCTCCCAATTTTTGCCGGCTGATATTTGTGTGTTGTTGTTGTTCTTGTCCAGGAATCTTCATTACCTCTGTTTTCTCTATGTTCACCTGAAGTGCTATCTTTGATGCCTCTTCCGCCAACTTGTTGCTTTTCACTTGCATATATTCCAGTTTGTGGGAAATCAGACATATACATCACATCGGCGAAGTCCAGATCCTCCTAGTTTTTTGTGTGAGTCCATTTCATGCCTGTTTACTTGCTGACTGGCCCGCTGTCTGTCGCATTATCCAAAAGAGATGGTGGAGATATGTGGATGACACTTTCACACACACAGTGTTGAAAACAGAATATATATCTCTCTCTAGCTTCTTGACACACATAAACTCACTAGTAGAGGCAATTAAATTCACATTTGAATCGAAAAATGAACAAGGAGAATTAGCTATGTTAGATTGTAAAATAAAACGAATAGAAGGTAAACTGCACACTAGCGTTTATTAAAAACCAATGCATTCTAATAGATATTTAGATTTTAATTCATCTCATCCGTCCGTTATCTGTCTGTGAAGGCAGGCTTAGTTAAGTTAAGTGTCTAACAAACCAACCAGTAGCACTAAGTAGCACAAGAAAAGACCTAAATGATGAAATAAAACAGACAGAAGAAGAAGTAGCGTTGGTGTCAAATAACTAACTATCCTATGAAATTCATTAGGAAGATCAGTAAAGGCCAAAAGCAAAATAAAAATAATTGTGAAACTTGTAATGATAACATAAATAAGAGAGAATATAAGGCATCTACTGTGATACCATATAAGGAGAGAAAACCTGAGACACTCCCTACGTAGGATTCTTAATAACAAAGCAGGAATTAGGCTGGTGGCATTCAAACCTACAAACTCACTCAGGTAGGACAAGCTCTGTAGGTTAAAGGACCCTGTCGGTGGACCCAATTAGATAAAATAATATAATTTACAAAATACCTTGCAATGACTGTAAGTTAGGTCAACTACATAGGTCAAACTAGTAGATCGGGGGTAGTGAGATTGTCGGAATATAAGAATTCAGCTAAGGCAAGATTGGTTGGCACCACGCAAGAAGATAAGTAATTTGGAAAAAAGCTCAGCACTACATTGCACTGCATGCATGCATTAACACACAACCACACAATAGCATGGTGGGAGAGGGTTAAAATTCTAAGTAGTAATCTACGTAGGTCTGTCCGTCTGTCTATCTGCTTTCGACATAGAACTTTGCACCGATGTGCACCAGTTCAAGTCACCACACGCCATGTAGCACACAAAGCAAGAGAAGAAAGTAGGAGAAATGCATAATAGAGAGAAACAGTAAACAGAGGTGTGGTGAGACAAAGGAATAGTAATAACGAAGAACAAAACAGTTCAATTGGAAATCATAAGTCACAAGGAGTGGATGCATCTGCGCCAGCCATTGAGAACGATTTTGAGCCATGTCACCAATTGTTTCCAACCATTGGTTTTGTACCGTCCCAAGGACCCCAACCAGTCAGGAAGTCTACACCTTCCTACGAGGCTTAGACTAACTGTTGTAGATTTTATTGACTGGTGAAGCCATGTTTTGGTTTGACCGCCGCTAGCTCTTTTTCAGTCTGACTCTATATCAGCTAACACTGCCCATTGTCGAGGAAGGCGATGACTAGTCATGCATACGTAACACATGTCCTAACCATGTCAGTCGATGTAATTTCACAGTCTCGTCGATTGACTTCCCCTCCCACCTACCTAGCACTCGACCGACAGATACCTAACCTCGATATTGCTCACCTTATTATACCACTTCACACGGGAGATGGAGCGTGGACACCTATGACCAAAGACAGGGATGGGGTTGCTATCATCATATCCAACCCTCACCTTTGTGATGACGTAATGAGAAAGATTACTCCTTTATTATAGTGTTAAGAAATAGTTAACTATATAGTGGATAAATTTGGAACTGTCACCAATATAGACCTCATAGTTTGATAGTCTGAAGATGGCATACTGTCTCTACTTCGCTCAAATACGAGCAAGTCTACCGTGCCAATTCAGAGGGGTGGGGGGGCATTAATGCACTCTCTAAAGTGTGCAACAGTTTAACTTTTCGAAATTTAAAAATTCTCTAAACATGAATCCAATGGATCAATTTGTAACACTGTAAATGGAATTAGATGTCATAACATGAGTCACTCCTTAACGTGAAGGGGATCAAAGTAGGTGACGAATAGTATCAGGCCGTTGGGATCCACATGGAGAAGCCTAATTTATCCGTCCAAAAGAAGTTGCCTAGTTCAGACATTATCCCCACTTTGGCTATCTAGGTTTGAATGATCAATGCTGAATTTTTGTGGAATTTTCCTACTTTTACTTGATCTTCTATTTGCTACTATATCTTTATTATTATTATTATTATTATTATTATTATAATTTAAGCATCTTTAATGAACTGTGGTAATTCCATGGTGATCTTACTTTACAAATCGATATTACTATTTAAAAAGCACACACTAATATTGTTATTGACTACTAATCTAGAATATTCTATGTATATAAACATGCATATATAGATATATAATTGTAGAGCGAGAAGAGGAGGAGGAATTTATCGAGAAGGATATTCTTTGCTGGCTCAATTATTTTTTTTGTGTTTTCTAGATAGATAGATGTTTGAATGAATATTTTCGCTATATTGATAATATTTCTCTCTCTCTCTGCCTTTTGTCACTAAATCAGTTGATGTTTGAACAGCAAAATGCACACTAAAAATCGACAATAGCAATTCAAATCGATAAATGAGTTGCTAAACATGTCTCCATTTAAAGAAAAATAAAATCAGAAATTTACACCATACTCAACACATTGAACAGAGCAAAATTACGTATTTCTAAATTATCTTTTGTCAGCTGCGTGCAACCATGAAAAATTTAATATCAGTTTACAAAATATTCAAATACTGTTGTAGTTTTGCAATTAGTAGTGTACTCTGAGGAGCTGGTTGGGGTTTAGTTGCTGAGATTTCGTCATCCCCCCCCCCCCCCGGGGCTGGACAACGTCCCACTTCAGCGCGAATTTTTAGCATAAAGTGAAATGATTTAAATTTCTTCTATGAGTGGTGATAGAACTGCGTCTCCCGGTAACGATCTTTACATATGTACTGATCAGTTTCTATTGACTTGGATTTCGAACTTTCTCGTCCCATGATCTACCTTTTATTAGTTGGTAGATTTGCTCTATATTAACGTGTTTGTTAATCACTGGCTGATTCGTTTGAGTACCAGGCTTCTAGGAATTCCCTGCCTGCACTTTTGGTGGTGTTTCCTCTGTCTAAGATTTCGATATTATCCCAGTTATCAAACTGATGTCCATAATTATGTATATATGCATTGATATGAAGCAGGAATGTATATATCATGTCTTTTCACAGCTGATTTGTCTTCCTGGATTCTGATTCGACGCCCTGGGGACGCCCACTTCAACCACCGATGTCATGTCTATAACAGCCGCAATTCTTTTTCTTTTTTTGATTTACAGCTTGATTCCACACCGTATTTTCAGTACAAGTATGGAACTTTCAGCATGGATATCGGTAGCCCAAATTTTGCAGGCCGACCATAGATATCGGGCGTGCGTCGGCAGGGGATCGAACCTCGGACCATGTGCATGGTCGGCGAGAGTCCTAACCACTGTGCCACCGACGCATTCATGGAAAATTTAAATCATTTCACTTTATGCTAAGAATCGCACTGAAAGAGATGTTGTCCAGAAGGACGACCAAATTAAACCTCAATTAAACCATCCAGCTCAGAGAACAGTGTTAATAGCAAATCATTCACCTGAGCTACAAATCTTCTCTGTTAAAAGATGATCTTTAATATGCGCTTAACCTAATCTTTTTTTAATATAGATTTGATGAGTTTTTCTATGCATCGCTATATCCAGGATACGATCGGGACAATATCCCCAAATCACAAGTCGGTTGTTTATCCTCTCTTATTTCCCTTATTTCAGACAAGGGTGCTTATTATCACCAATGATATTCCTAATTGTGGTGGACTGGATTATGCGTCAGACAGTGGGAAACGAGAAGACAGGGATATCCTGGACCGACGTGAAGAACCTAGAAGACCTGGATTTCGCGCGTGGATGATTTATGTTTGATGTCACACAAACTCGAAGGCTTACATGCGAAAACCGACAAACTGGTCGAAGAAGCAGCCGGCGAAGACAGGACTCCAGGTGAACATAGACAAGACGGAGGCTATGAAAATAACCAACCAACAACAACAACAGCAGCAGCAACATCCAGCGCCATTCACCATCAACGGGAGGGATTTGAAAGAGGTTACTTCATTCACTTATCTAGGGAACATTGTCTCAACTACAGGAGGAACAGACGAGGATGTCAAATCGAGAATCGGGAAGGCGAGAAACACATTCATCAACCTGAAACCAATCTGGAAATATTCGTCACTCAGAAACACTCAACAACAAAATTCGGATTTTCAATACAGTACAAACGTCAAGTCAGTCAGTTCTTCTATACGTACGGATGAGAAACTTGGCGGCGGGTCACAAAGAATATTTTCAACAGCCTGTTGAAGACCTTTATCAACAACAACAACTGTCTTCGCTAGCATCATACTGAAGATCAGATGGCCGGAAAGAACAAGAAGCAACAAGAAACTATGGGAAGAAACAAACGAATCAAGGACCAATCGGCCAACAAATATGCAGGAGAAAGTGGAGATGGATTGGACACTCGCTGAGGAGGCCGTTGGGTGACATCGCGCGTCAGGCCATAGCTCGAGTGGAACCCGAAAGGGAAGCGACGAGTGGGACGTTGAAGGGTGACATGGAGGATATCGTGTGAACAGGAACTGAAACAGTTTGGATTAACATGGATGCAAGTGAAAAGTACAGCACAAGACAGAAGCAAGTGGAGGCGTGCAGTTGAAGCCCTATGTTCCACTAGGAACCCAAGGGAACAATAATAATAATAATATTTCATAGAAATACCCAATTATTCTTTGAAGTATTAATACAATACTGCCATCCGTTGCAGTCAGTTATTTGGCAGTCGCTATGATTATATGAATACAATACGTGTACTGCCACAAGGTAAACCTCTGTTATCTATGCAGGCTCTTCACCCCAGTGCTAACAGTATACCACTTTATGTCTATATATACATTGCAACCATTGGAGGTGAGATCAAAAAAGTGAAGAGTTCCATGGCAATAAACTGGAATGCACAACTCAAAGAATAACTTTTCAAAAGTTATGCTAATTTATATGAAGGCTAACATGAGAGTATTATGTGGACTATGCCTAAGACAAATACTGTCAGGTTTTGTGGTGAAAAAATAGTTGCTCACGTTGACTGCCTAATGAAACTAGGTGCAGGGAAATCAATGGGTCCTGATAATCTTCATCCAAGGCTTCTCAAGGAGCTATCAGCTCACATAGCCAGCCCTTTGACTACGATCTTCAAGCTATCTCTCCAAAATGGAGTGTTACCGCGTGACTGGAAAGACGCCATAGTAACCCCCATCCACAAAGGAGGATCAAGACAAAGCCCTTCAAATTACAGGCCTATCAGTCTCACCAGCACTTTAATCAAGACACTGGAAAGAATCATCAAGAAAAGCATCATGGCATATCTGGAAAACAGCAGCTTGTTATCCAGAGCACAGTATGGCTTCCGAAGAAACCTCTCATGCCTGTCAATTCTCCTCACTGCAACAGAAAGCTGGGTCAAATCAAGGGACAAGGGAAGACCCGTTGATGTCGTCTTCATAGACTTCAGCAAAACTTTTGATAAAGTACCTCACAAAGGTCTTGGTATCTAAGGCAGATTACTAAGCTGGCTCAGGGAATTCCTCATAGATAGGAGGCAGAGGGTTAGGATCAAATCAAAACTCTCCTCTTGAACAGCAATACGTAGCGGAGTGCCACAAGGCACGGTACTCCGACCTCTCCTACTTATTTTGTAAGTCAGCGAGTTATCTCTGCTCACCGATTCCCCTAAGGTCCTATACGCAGATGACTTAGACATTTTGAGAGAGCTGAAGGGCAACAGTGATGAGTTCACGTTGCAAGAGGACATCAACAAATTGTTAGCATGGTCCAGGGAATGGATGCTCCCGATAAATGTGGCAAAATGTGCAACCATGCGCATCGGACAAGCAAGCATCAGCTCCTACGAACTAGAAGGAATAACACTTCCATCAGTTCAGACTCACTTGGACTTAAGTGTCTTAGTTAGCCACGACTTACAAACTACAGCACACTGTCTCGCGGTGGCTGCACGTAGTTTCAGGTCTTAATGGGCAATTCGCAGAGCCTTTACTAGAATCACCAGAGATATGTTCACCTCCTTACATACATCCCTAGTGATATCAAGACTGGAAAACTGTATCCAGGCAGCTAGTCCTTGCCTTAAAGAGGGGACTCACACATTCTAGAAAGGGTTCAAAGGAAGGCAACACGTATGGTCCTTGGCATGACTAACTTATCATACTAGGAAAGACTAGACAGTTTAAATCTCTTCTCTCTATCATACCATAGGCAGAGAGGAGATTTAATCACAATGTTTAAATAATTTTAAATAATGACTACAGACCTGACCTATTCTCTCTTTCCCTTCCCACTAGGTGGTCGGACACACCTTAGAGGACATAGCAGGAGAGTTCAAAAGCCAAGAAGAAATCATATTGCTGTTGAGTACTGGTTCTCACACCGAATCACAAACTCTTGGAACCGACTGACTCTCAGAAAAAGTGGTGTCTGCAACCTCAACTGATTATTCATTCAAGAAGGGTTTGGACAACCACAGAAATTTATTAGAAAAGGATTAACATAGGCTCCAAGCCTTCTGTCCTCAACCGGTAAATCTGAAATCTGAAATTGCTAACATAACATTACACAAGCAAGTTCTATTTACAATTATCGGCACTCAAGCTGTATTGCTCACCTCTTACTTTTCGAATACTAGTAGTAGGTATTGTTTGCCTAGTCAAGCAACACCATGGACAATCGTACGTAGGAATAGCTGAGGTGGACCACATAGAATAGGACAAATTGGAGGTGTGTTGGAGCCATATGTTCCACTCGAAATACAAAGGAATAGTTATATAAATACGTATATACAGTGTTTATGCACCGTATCAAATTCGCTTTTACATATATTCCTAAAACCATGGTTTTGTAATCAGTTATTATACCACAGTATCACTGTTTCGAGCAGCAAACTCACTTACTGCGTGTACAGATATTCACTTGTAGAGGTGAAAGGTGGGGAAAATGTGTTACACCAGTGTGCATAAAATTGGAAGTACTGAAGACATCATGGCACAGTGCATGTAGTTTTGCACACTATTAATAACTTCGCACATACATATAAAATTACAGCGTACTCACTCTAAAGCATTGTCAGGTTTTTCTGATTCTTCGTATAATCCAACCAGCACTTTACAAGTTAAGGACATTTTATTAAAGGCGAAATTACCCTTTGTTAATGCATCAATTACCCCTGACTTCTCCAAGTACTTTCGAAACTCTTCACGTTTGGAATTCCCTGGCTGAACAAAAAATATAATTTGGTGCGAAAATCTTACTTTGTATGACGACATCCTATATTCAAATCGCCGTCTTTAAAATAACATGACAACGTTGTAAATAGTAGAGGATTAAAACAAAACCGAGTTACTTCCATTCACTGTGAGCAAAAGATGTTATTCATCAAATCTGGGAATAATTTTCAAATACTATTTTAGAATCTATTTCTATTGTGTTATGTAGAAAACTTAAAGGAACTTTTGATTGGATACTAGTCAGTAACTAGTGTAATTTTGCGTTTATTCCTAGCTTTGGTTAAGACTGATTTCCGTCAATCAAAATTGCAATGTGCCCACTATTCTAGGCGCCTCACGATCATGCCAAATATTCATTTGATGATATAAGCTGTTTGAAGGCAATTTGCAAGAAGCTTTGGACCTGGGTTTCGAGCTAGCTGGTGCTCATCAGCAAAGCGTATCTGCAACGTCGAAGAAACTGATATTCCTTCTGATATTTGAACACCCAGTGCTGTAGTCAGAGACCTTACGACTGAGCGATTCAGGCTCGCAAACTTGATAGAATTCAGTCTACCACAAAGATAGGGATAGATGCACATATAACACTAGTTACCACCTGGTATTCAATCAAAAGTATCCAGTGCAGTTCTACAGAAAGTCAGTCGTGAGCCTGAACAGCTTAGTGGTAATGTCTCCGATTGCAGCCTTGGATGACTAGGGTTCGAATATAATTTGAGCTCTTTCAACGTTGCAGATACGCCTTGCTAATGATCTCCAACTAGCACAAAAACAGCGTCTAAGGCTTCCCGCTGATTGCCTCAAACCATATAATAGCTTAAGTTCCTATTATTATTAAATCTGTTGCCGTAAGCAGCGAACGTCGCCGGTGGCACTAGACGCCTGCCAGACCCGGTACTTAGTTGACACAGGTGTCGAAGTCAGTGTCGCTCCTGCTACAGCAGCAGATTCACGGAATGATCCTACCTTCAAATTACAGGCTGCAAATGGAAAACCAGTTGCAGTATTTGGTAGGGAATACGTCTATCTGAACGTAAATTTACGCAAACCTATTCAGTGGATTTTCCTTCTCGCTGATGTCACAATGCCCATCATTCGCACGGACCCCCTTAATCATCATGATTTACTCTTAGATGTCCGCCGAAAACGACTCATAGACAGTACAATTACACTTTCTATCAAAGGCCCCAGCTTGTCACTCGTTAAGATGAAGGCGATCGTCAACGCAACATTCCAATCGATTGTTAATAGGTACCCAGGACTTAGTTGTCCGTCTACCAATCTACCGTGAATAACCAGCAATGTTATGCATCACATCATAACCTCAGGACAACCCATGACATCCAAAGCACGACGAATTGCTCCGAATAAACAACGACTCGCTAGAAATGAGTTCGAGCATATTGGCACCCTTAGCATCATTCGACCATCGAGTATCTCATGGGCATCCCCACTGCACATAGTACCAGAAAAAGAGAGCAACGATTGTCGACCCACTGGTGATTACCGGCGAGTGAACGCCGAAACAACTCCTGATTGCTATCCATTGCGTCACATACACGGCTGGACGGCAACGTTGTCTGGTGCAACTATATTCTCGAAAAAAGGCTTGGTTAAAGCGTATTACCAAATCCCGATGGCGTCAGGAGATATTCCGAAAACTGCTATCATTGAGCCTTTTGAACTTTCTGAGGTTTTACGTATGCTATTCGGTCTCCGGAATGCAGCACAAACTTTCCAACGCTTCATTGGCGGATTATTTCGCAGTCTCAACTTTGCATACGCATACTTGGACGACTGCCTCATTGCCAGTCCAGACAAGGAAACTAACCTTAGACACTAAGACTTGTCATTCGAAAGGTTACGCCTATATGGTGTGACCATTATTATTCAAAAGTGTCAAGTAGGTGTTGACTCACTCAACTTTCTGGGACACACTATTGACTGCACAGGTATTCGCGCACTGGCTACTAAAGTCGAGGTGATACTGAACTTTCCGGAGCCAAAGACAGTGAAAAGTCTTCGCACTTTTAACGGCTTGGTAAGTTATTATCGACGGTTCATTCCTAACTGTGCTTCTCTGATTCAGCCATTGACAGACCTTCTTCGAGGGAATAACAAGTCTATCGAACTCGACGCGTCTAATCGACATGCTTTTACTCAGGTAAAAAAGCTATTGCGGAAGCCACACTTCTCATGTGTCAGGATCCGACGGCACCGTTAAATATCTCGGTTGACGTATCAGACACTGCAGTCGGCGCAGTTCTGCAACAATTGGTCAGCAGAGAGTGGAAACCACTCGCCTTTTTCTCGATGTGCCTTCAATTAGCAAAAACGAAGTACAGTACATTCGGAAGAGAACTTCTGGCCAGGTACTGTGCTATACGTCATTTTCTACATTCAGTGGAGGGTCGTGAATTTATAATTTTCACTGACCACAAACCTCTGACTTACTTTCTGAACTCAACTTCAGATAAGTATTCACCTAGAGAATCACGACAACTGGAATACGTTTCACAGTTCACATCGGATATTCGCCACATATCCGGAGTGAACAACACTGTGGCAGATGCCTTGTCGCGCATTTGTTCGCTCACCCAAATAGATGGCATAGACCTTGTGAAACTGGCTCGTCTTCAAGGAGAAGATACTGAGCTTCAACATGAGTTGTCGAAAACAAGACTGCATTAAGCCGAGAAACCCTTAGGTATGGGAAGAGATACTATTCCATGTGACATTTCCACAGGTACGTTTAGCCCCGTCGTGCCTAAAAGTTATCGACGTAACGTCTTCAGTACGTTGCATGGCTTATCCCACCCAGGTATTCGAACTACCATCAACCTCGTAACTAGTCGGTTTTGTTGGCCTGGTATTAATAAAGAAGTAAGGGAATGGGCACACACGTGCTTGGCCTGTCAAAAGTGCAAGGTAGTAAGATACACCAAAAGCTCTTTTGGCACCTTTCCCTAATGCTCGTTTCGACCATTTTCATGTAGATTTGACTGGACCACTTCCAGAATCTCATGGATATGTCTATATCTCAACCTGCATCGATCGTTCTACACGATATCCTGAAGCAGTAGCCCTCAAATATGCATCTGCTGAAACAGTCGCAGGCGTCTTTGTTTAACGATGGATCGCAAACTTCGGACGCCCATCCTCCATAACAGCTGATCGCGGGCGGCAATTCGAAAGCGGCTTATTCTTCGCTTTGACTTAAATCATAGGCTGCATGCGTTTTAGAACAACAGCCTACCATCCTCAAGCTAATGGTATGGTAGAACGTCTGCACTGACGGTTGAAAGCTGGTTTATCAGCTGCAGACAATACCCATTGGACTGACCACTACCGATAGTTCTCCTGGGGATACGAAACGCCTTGAAAACTGATGCTGGTTGTCCTGCTGCCGATATAGTATATGGCACATCACCACGACTGCCAGGTGAGTTTGTTTCTCCCTCTAGCTTCCCATCAGCAGTAGATCACGCCTTACACGTCAGCAGGCCTACAAACGCAATGCGTTCAGTAGAAACTGCTCCTCTTCGACTACAGTTCATAAACATCTTTGTTCACCCGTCTTTGAAAACTTCTTCACATATATTTGTTTGTTGTGACTCTGTGAGTCGCCCTCTGGAACCTCCATACGACGGATCATATAAAGTCATTAAATGTATGGATAAATTCTTTGTCTTAGACAAAAATGGCTGTGAAGACATCGTTAGCACTGACCGACTGAAACCGGCCTACTTAGAAGACAATCCCATTAGCCTAGAAATCAGGATTCCCAATAATACACAAGTCACCGAATGTTGCTTAGTTCTCGAAGCAATCACCATCACGGCAGAAGCCACCGAATCTTCTGTTGAGCCCTCAAAAAACGCGTTCTGGACGAAACGTGAGATTCCCTGAACATCTTAACACTGCATGGCTTAACCCACCCAGGTATTCAAACCACCGTCAAGCTCGTAACTAGTTGGTTTTGTTGGCCTGGTATTAATAAAGATACAAGACAATGGGCGCACACACGCTTAGCTTGCCAAAAGTGCGTTTCACCCAATTCTTATTCGTTTGTGGTATTCATTTATTTTTTTCTTTCAGCCACATCAATTTTTTATATTACATCCCTCAACACAAGTAAAATCTTTTCTATAACCGTACGTGTTACATCCACTAAAAAATTGGATATATACTTTTTTCGATGTTCCGACGGACAGACATAAACGAAGCGATGTACAGACACCCTATTAGCATAGATAGACGACCAGTCGGCAGTCCATCAAGCCGACTGGAAGAGTTTTCGCCTACAGGAAAACTACTGGTTTTTTACCTCCGGCTGGTTTTCTATTAGGGTCTTCGCAACCCCACTATGAGGGTTGTGAGCTGTAGCGGAAGGTAATTCCCCAAAATTATTGGCCACAGCATTCATCACTGAACATTGGATGCTGACCCTCACTGTTTAAGTCAACTTGTTTAGCTGAAGGCTTCCGGTCAAGCATCCACACCATTTGGTACTCCGTCCTTGTCACGCTTGTTCGTGCACGATCCCTAGCCAGCTAAGAAATCATCTCGCACTTCGATTTGGTCCCGAAATATAACTCCTGATTTGGACGATCAATTCTGGTGTTTTTTACTTTGCCTCTGGTCTACGCGGGATGAATACTTTAGAAGTTGTGGGTATTAGATCTTGCGTTAGTATACTTCGTACTATCCGTGAGTGTCAATACCTTCAGCCAACATTTCCTTTCTGGTGTTGCAGTAGTTCCTTTTTGCAAGGCTCAATTTGCGGCTGCCATATTCGACAGCATGTTACTTGGCGTTCCCACCAACCTGGGATAATATTGCTGCAATGGATGTGCGACTAGCTTTCGTGTCCAAGATGTATTTACCGGCTGTTGGTGATGTATCCGGGAATGCTAAAGTAGGCGCCGAGCATAACGAATCTTTCAGCTGCTGAAAAGCATGGTCATAATCTTCTGTCTATAAGAAGGGAATATTTTTTCTAGTCAACCTTGTTAGAGGGCTAGCGATTTCTGAGTAGT